GGGAAAGGGAAATAAACATACAAGAGAAAGAAAACATCAAATTTGCTAAGTCATTGCCATAGCAAAACATGTGACCAGAGTGCAAATGATGTAACTATTTCTCCCCACGAGATTCTCCACACGGTTCTTATTGAAAAGTCAGTCTCGAGACAGAAGTGTCCTCAAGTGTGGTGATTACCAAGGTCGGATTTTTTGGTTGAAATTGCTTATAACCCCTTCTCCCATGATTCTCAAGATGAGCCTTATGGAAATGTTTCATTCATTGGCGAATATATGTGGTGCACCCCGAGCAAGGTACATAGTTAAATGGGACCCACTCCCTGCCCTCTTTTGCCCCATTTCCTTCCCCACAGCCTCCCAATTCCCCACTTGGGTAGGCAATGTGATAACCTCATGACTTCAGCTCCCACCTTCAGTCTCCCACTCTCTCTCCAATTCATTCTTCTTACCAATGTCTCAGGTTGATTTCTAAACAGCACTCTGTTTTCCTGGTCCAGTTAATTCCTGTTTAAAATTTTCAGTGCCCCCAAGAACAGACATATGCCACTAGACCAGTGGAACAGAACAGAGAACCCAGAGATTGACACATGCCATTATGCTCAATTAATATTTGACAAAGGAGGCAAGAGCATACAATGGAGTCAAGACAGTCTCTTCAGTATATGGTGTTGGGAAAATTGGACAGATACATGCAAAAAGATGAAACTAGACCACCAACTTACACCCTACACAAAAATAAACTCAAAATGGATAAAGGACTTAAACGTATGATGGGAAACCATAAAAACCTTAGAAGAAGCCGTAGGCACCAAAATAGCAGACATTTGTTGTAGCAATATCTTTACCAATACAGCTCCTAGGGCAATGGAAACTAAGGAGAAAATAAACAAATGGGACTTCATCAAAATAAAAAGCTTCTGCACAGCAAAATAAACCATCAACAAAACAGCAAGAAAGCACATGGCATGGGAGAACATATCTGTAAGAATGGGAAACAGCCTAAGTGTCCATTAGTAGATTAGTGGATTAAAAAACTTTGATATATCTACACAATGGAATACTATGCTGCGGTAAAAAAAAAAAAAAAGGAATTCTTACCATTTGCAGCAGCATGGATGGAACTGGAGAGCATTATGCTAAGTGAAATAACACAGTCAGTGAAAGAAAAATACCACATGATCTCACTCATTTGTGGACTACAAAGAACATTATAATGTGATGAACAAAAATAGATACAGAGGCAAAGAAGCATCGAACAGACTGTCAAACTACAGCAGAAAGGTGGGGGAGGGTTGCAGGGGGGCAGGAGGTAAGAGACCAACCAAAAGACTTGTATGAATGCATATAAGCATAACCAATGGACGCAAGACACTGGAGTGGGAGTAAGGGCATGTGCTGGGGGCTAGGGAAGGCCGGGGGGAGGTCAATGGGGGGAAAAAAGAAGACAAATGTACTACTATTTGTAATACTTTAAACAATAAAAAAATAAAATGTTCAGTGCCTTGCTGTTGCCTTTAAAATTAAGTCCAAACTCTTGAGTAGCAGAATACAATAACAGTTTGCTGAGTGTACTATGCTCTCAAATCTCCAGGCCTTTGCATAGACTGCTCTCTCTACCTAGAATGCTGTTCCTCCTCCTTCACCTGGGGCACTCCTGCTGACACTTCAAAACTTATTTGAGATGTCACCATTTCTAGGAAATGCTCCCTGACTACCAGCCCTACGCATTCTGAGTTTGATGCCCTCCTTTCCGGTTTCATTAGAACTTTGCTAATACCTCTGTCATAACAAAGGTATATTGAATAATAATAATAATAATAATAATCATCTTATTTACCCTCTTTCTCTCCAACTACACTGGGAATTATTGTAGAGAGAAACTATACCATTTATCACTCTCTTTATTTTATCTCCCTAATAGACTGTGTAGCACCTAACAGGTACTCAGAAATTGTTTGATGAGTGAAGAATCTCAAAGTATAGAAGGGAAGACAGAGAATCACAACTCTGTGTGAGGTGTGAGAAACCACAGAGTGGGATGTAGTGATGATGCCTGGACACTTCTGCTTTAGAAGAAGACAGGGTGTAGGAAGGTGTCCCACAGAGAAGATGCTTACAATGGCCTTGAGGAAGGTTGGGAGATCACCAGGCCCATGGGGAGGAGAGGCAAAGATAGTGGTGGCACGTGGAAATGCCTAAATGCCTCAGTTTGCATGATGCATTGGGGAAGATTTCCCTTAGAAGAATGGAGACGATATCCATAATAAGTTAATAGGAGATTAGTGGAATAATCCAGTTAAAGGCCTGAACTGAGCTAGTTAGCAATGGAATCTAATTTGAGAACAGAGACAGATGCAGAGAAGTTGAGGAAATAAGGAGCCAGCATGAACCCCCGGTTTCTGGCTTGGGTGCATGGTGGTGGCATAACCAGCCTCAAGAATTAAGAGGAAACACTGCTTTGGTAGAAAAATGGTAAGCCCGGTCTGCTGGGGTTGAGTTGGAGTTGTCCGTCGGACATCTAGGTGAAGATATTAGTAATCAATTGGATATGTGTGTCTGGCTAGGAATGAAGACTCACTGTTATAACTTCATTAGAACTTTTGTTTTACGTCTATAATTTAATTCCATGCCATGAGGTTTCAGTCATGAGTGAGGACTGATAGGAGAGGCATAATTGGTCCCATTTGCCTCTGGCTTGGATGTGTCGCCTCTAGCAAGCTACTGGACTTTAGGCTGTGCCTGTTGCCTTATGGGAAAGAAGACAGTTAAGGAGACCTGAAAAAAATAATGTTGCAAACATTGGCCTTAAAAAAAAATAAATTTAGTCCTGTCTTTCATGATTCTTCTGTGGGATGTGAAATTCATGCCAGTGAGGCCAACCTCTTCTACCTCCCAAAATCACATACTTCTAAGGGCCACCAAGTATTACATAAAGAGAGAAGTCTTTCCCTTTGTTGCATTGGAGTCCTTACCCCTGAAGAATTGTCTTTAGGTAAAGATGTTATTTCCTTGCTACAACAAATACGTGTTTGTTCTGTCCTCCACTTTTCAGGAGGTGGACTTCTTCTAGTGCCCCCTTGCCACTGGGATGGCAGTTATGCCTGTTCGGCCCAGCCGGCAGCACCCACCTTGGTAGCGCTCTCCTACAGAGAGTTCATTTGCAATTCTGTCTGCATTGTGGAGTTTAGACTGAGATCTGCTTTGCTTAAGGGTCCCAACTGAAATAGCATTTTTACAAAGCAACTCATTGTGCTTTTCTGGCTAATTTGTCTTCAGTGATTCCCACTGAAATGAAACATATTTTAATTCAAAGTTTCCTGACGATGATGGCACTTGGGAGTTACATGATGAGCTCATGGTTGAACCTCTTTTATTCCAAATGTCTATTCACAAAGGCTAAATGGGAATTGCTTATGGAACGCAGGCATTTCTGACAAATCAGGAGGAATTGGTATTTAACCGAACAGCTCTGGCAACCAGGTGTGAACAGAGCAAAGATTTAGCAAGGGCACTAGTCATGTGTAGAGAATGGAGGATCCCATTTCTAATTCAAAGGACTGTGACAGAAAACTCATCATCGAACTTGAATATCAACCAACCCGTGTTTACAAAGAAGGCAATATCACAATAGCACCCGGGGAAATTTAAATGATGCATAATGAAAATTCGCAGAAAAGCCCAAAACCATTCATTCCATCCAACACACTGAATCAGATGCTGCACTAAGCCCAAAGCTGGCATTGTCCTCGATGAAAAGGCCTTAAAATATTTATTTCTTGTTTCAAAGCAAAGGTACTGCGTTATTTGGAATAGTGGTATCAAATCTATTCCCTAATGTAAAAATTAAAAAAAAAAACACTAGCCCTAACCGGTTTGGCTCGGTGGATAGAGCGTCAGCCTGTGGACTGAAGGGTCCCAGGTTTGATTCCAGTCAAGGGCATTACCTTGGTTGCGGGCACATCCCCAGTAGGGGGTGTGCAGGAGGCAGCTGATCGATGTTTCTCTCTCATCGATCTTTCTAACTCTCTATCTCTCTCCCTTCCTCCCTGTAAAAAATCAATAAAATATATATTTTTAAAAACCACTAAATAGTTTATAGTCTCTGCCATACTGACTAAATATAAGTGACACATCACCACAACCTCCGTGGTCTGATATCTTAATTTCTATAAAAGTAAATAAGTTTGGTGGTCAGATTCAGGATGCAGCCGGGGACCAGCTTCTTCTAAGGGGCAGCAGGCTGTAACCAAATCGTTTGGCTGCTCCCCGGAAACTGGTAATCTACGATGCTTATCTAATCTGTTGGAAATGCAACTTGAGTAGAACCGTCTGTGGGTGACTTAATGTTTCTTTAATTACCAGGTAGGAGATCAAATCATTGAAATCAATGGGGAGAGCACCAGGGACATGACACACGCCAGAGCGATAGAACTCATCAAGTCTGGAGGAAGAAGAGCGAGGCTGCTGCTGAAGCGCGGGACGGGGCAGGTCCCAGAGTATGGTGCGTTTCACGTTTCGATTCACCTTTCCTCTGTTTCTCTCATGTACTGTAAGTGCCTATGTTTATTTATAAGACTTTGTCAGTTACTTCATTCTACCTGAATACGTATTCAGCTATCCATAGATATCTATACGCATGTATACATTTGAGCACAAGATATATATGTGTGTGTTCTTTCTTTTGCTCCCACAGTTAAGTAATGTTTAAAATAGCAAATATAGAAACTTTCGGGGCATCTCTGAGTGTGCTGGGAGATCCAGCCATCACTATGATACTAGAACTTCCATAATTTGACTGATAGTCTTCTCTGCATTTGAGTCCACAGTAATGTATCAATTATTTCCTAAAATTGCTCATGCATCACACTGTCCCAGAGGATGTGTAACGGGGGCCAGGAGAAAAGCAAGAACAGATCTTCAGGGTGTGAAAATGAAAATGTAAACTTCAGTTCATGCGGTGATCACATTTCCTTGGCATTTTAGGGATATTCAAAAAATTCACACCCATATTGTGTAGCTACATGTTTTTGAGGAAGGCTTTAAAGTGCATTTTAATGCATACATTTTCTTCCAAAATCTTTAATGGTGTTATTTTCAAGGGGCCCACTTAAGGCACCATTGACAGCATTACGGAGGAACTTCTGGGGGGTCATTACATAACCTGAGCTGTTTTTTAATTAATGTCAAGAATAACAGGCAGAGAGACAGACAGGTATCAGTGAAGAGCAGTGTAGATAATGCCCTTCCAGATTAGGGAAAAGGGATCTAACTGCTGACCTGAACAAGTGGTTCAAACTGATGATCTAGATCAGTGGTTCTCAACCTTCCTAATGCCGTGACCCTTTAACACAGTTCCTCATGTTGTGTTGACCCCCAATTTCATTGTTACAAATTGAACATAATTAAAGCATAGTGATTAATCACAAAAACAATATGTAATTATATATGTGTTTTCCGATGGTCTTAGGCGACCCACAGGTTGAGAACTGCTGATCTAGATAAACTGACTCTCATTTTCACTCCTCCATTCCCTACCTTCTTCCATTCCAAAAATTCTAAATAGTACTTTTCCCTCTCAATTTTGTTTTCCTAGGTTACCTTATTTATTGTTTAGCAGGTCAGTATAGTCCTGAGTTCAGTTGAAATATCTGAATTCAGAAGCCCTTACATATTTTGTGTCCAGGTTCTTGATACTCCTACAAAGAGGGGCAGCAAGCCCTCACATCAAGAGTGGGAAAGGATTCAGAACTTTCTGGAGGGCCGGCTCCATGCCCAAGGATATACTTCATCCCAAGTGGCAACTCTTAATATTTGGATGAAATAAAATATTTTTAAATATTGATATTAGCAATAAGCACAAGCCTGATCCCGTTAAATGAATCTGGCATTAATCCCTTCATAGAAAGAATCTGAACACTTGGGGTACAGTAACTTTTGGCCCCTGGAGCATGACGTGATTCAGTAACATCAAACTGGCCTGTGAGAGTCTATCACTTCTAAAAATACCTCATTTTAAAGGTGTGTTTCACCCCATGGCAAGACCTGACTATTACCTACCAGTGGTCGGCAAACTCATTAGTCAACAGAGCCAAATATCAACAGTACAACGATTGGAATTTCTTTTGAGAGCCAAATTTTTTGAACTTAAACTATATAGGTAGGTACATTGTTATTCACTTAATTAGGGTACTCCTAAGGCTTAGGAAGAGCCACACTCAAGGGGCCAAAGAGCCGCATGCGGCTCGCGAGCCACAGTTTGCCGACCCCTGACTATGCCAAGGAATTTTCATCAAGCTAATATTGTTCTTGTTGTTCTAACAGGTTAGTCTTTAAAATGTTAATCTGAGCAACGTGGCTCTCCTGGGCTTTCTTTTCTCCTGTACAATCACTGTTTGGCCCGCACTTGCAGGGTCTGCCACGCCAGCTGCTTGTCTGTAGTGGTCAGTTAGGACAGTACTGCTGAGCCGCCTCTGGCAGAACCTATAATGCATAAGCATGAAGCTGCCTCAAAGCATCTTTAAGGCAAAATAAACACATGTTTTTGAACAAGATAAAAATTCCAGATCATGTCAACATTATCCCATTAATTCTTAAATATTACCCAAAAATATCTACTTAAGGTTAAAATCTAAAGTGAACTAACACAGAGAGTTCGCTAAATATCTGAGCACACTTTTGAAGGATGAAAACTCTTGCGATATTGCAGAATTGTGTCTGAATATATTTGAAAATATAACATTAAATTGTACTTGCTGGTAATGAGAGCTCATCAGCTACTTTTGATGATAGAGTGACATGGATTTTGACTGAAAAATAACTTAGCAATTATACCACAAAAGACGAAATTTAATAGACTAGAGCAGTTTCCTTTAGGGAAGTAAAAGAATAATCATAAACCAAGTAAACATTCGTTCTTCAGGAAACTCTGAGCTAAAAGACGCATGGTTATGTATGAGAAACCAAGACGGTTAAGGATCCGATGGGCATCTTTGAGGATACTGTCATCAAATGGTATCTCTGGAAGGTCATATGGCAGTGGGTTGGGGGGAGCGGTTTCAGCGGCCCCCAAGACCACTCCACGTTCAGAGATTTGCTAAAAGGCTTACTGGGCTCCTGGGGCACAGAATATAGTCATCCTCATAACAAGATTTATTACAGTGCTTTAGTAAGGATACACAGTAGGATCAGAAGGGGAGAAAATACAGGCAGACACTGCAAGAATCCACGTGCAGGCTTCCTTATTCTCTATCTATTATCTATCTATCTATCTATCTATCTATCTATCTATCTCCCTTCACCTCCACCCCGTGAGGGATCACCAGAGAGCACTCTTCTCCCAGCAACAAAAATACAGCAACATATGTGTGACGTTGCTACCTAGGGAAGCTCATTTGAGACTTGGCACCCAAGGTTTGTAGTGGGGGCTGATCATACAGACACTCTGCCTATCACATACCAAAATTCCAGTATCAGCCTGCCCAGGTAGCTCAGTTGGTTAGCGTGTGAGTTCAATCCCTGGTCAGGGCACATACAAGGATCAACCAATAAATGCATAAATAAGTGGAACAACAGATCTCTCTCTCTCTCTCTCTCTCTCTCTCTCTCTCTCTCTCTCTCTCTCTCTCTCTCTCTCTCTCTCTCTCTCTCTCTCTCTCTCTCTCTCTCTCTCTCTCTCTCTCTCTCTCTCTCCCTCCCCTTCCTCCTTCCCTCCCCCCACTACCCTCCCTCCTTTTCTCTCTCTCTCTCTCAAAATAAAAAATAATAAAACAATTCCAGTCTCCCCTAAGGAAAGCAGGTGTTCAGCATAAACCACTTTGTTTGTGCAAATACCTGGGGTACAGTGACACACCCTTACCCTTTAGAGAAAGGTTTCTATTAGAGGACAATTGACCAGTCCCAGTCCCGGATGCCAGCAAGGACCAGCTTTGCAAGCAGACATTTGTGAGGATAGCAGTCACAGCCTGCTATTTAAATTCTTTCCTGCACCAGGAGCAAACCAAAGAAGTGGCCACATCCATGGCCATACAAATGACCCCAACGTGAGTAGTGCCCACAGCCAAAGAACATCATCATTCCTCCAGCATCAGTTAAACAGACTATACCATGAAACAGACGTTTTTTGTCCAAGATAAACTAGAGTGCATTTTAATTAAATTGGCAAAGGGGAAGGGAGGACAAAATAAAATAATAGCAACAAGAACATCAAAAAGTGCTCAAGTGTACCAGTAAATATAACCAAGAATATAATCCACTTTGTCTAGATGCACCCTAATCACAGGAAAACTGGTTTTTCTGTCAGCTATGAGTTTGGTCCTATGTTTGTTTCATTTGTTTGCCTCTTTAAGATCCTAAGGTTGGCATAAAACCCATCCTTAAAAGATTGTTAAAGGAGGTTATCAGAATCCTTAGGAGACATAACCTAGTAGCAAGCTGTTCAGACTTAACCCAGCCTGGGAGAGCGAACTTTGAAGATGAGGGACTGAAGAACACGCCTGTGGAAGGGCTTTAAGTGATATCGCCAGCCCTCCCTCTGACACCTACAGAACTCAGACCAGCTTTGAGGCAGGACCCTTATCTGGACTTCGGTCCGGGCCAAGGAAAAGCCGATCTCAGTCAAGAGAAATACAGAACTCCCACTCCATGTCCTTAAGGTGATCTGTGACAGGGAGATAAGGGCAGGGACAATTGAAAGAAAAAAATACCACGGGTAACCTGTCAGCTTGTTGACTAAACAAAACCAGCGTGAATCCCAGTGAGCTGAGGAGAGGAATAAGTCTGCTGCAAACAAGCCATCCATAATTACCGTGAGACTAATCGTCGAGTGACACCTCCGCCAGTTCAGAGGCGTAAATCAACCAACGCAGCCGAGAGGGTGGTGGCTGCACACTGAGGCTGCGAGCAGCTGCGAGGGGAGTCGGGACATGATAAGGGCTTTGAAGAAGTTGCTTTTATAGCTGAGTCCTTGAAAGAGAAGCTCAGGAGCTAGACACTTCAACTCTACTCTAGTCCTCAGGATAAGAATTTGTTGATTATAAACCCAACAGAGAGTGTAAGTTCCCCCTTCCCTGACACACATCTCAACACCTGGCAGGAATAAGGAACCTCTCCACCGTACTGAGAAAAAAAATCAAGAGATGCTACAGCACAAGGAGCGTCCTCCTTAATGGATGTTGCTCTTTGAATTACATCTTAAATGGTTAAGAGAAAAGCATGTATGCACCCTGGTCTTCAAGCTGCAAAGGAGTGAGTTGTACAAATTAGCTCCCTGCCTTGACCGAGAGGGGTCCTTCATCAGCATCTGGGGATGTCAACGTGAACATTCCCTTGATTTGTACACTGAGCCACAGAGCCAGGGTCAGGGGGAGGGAGAAAGAGCAGCCATTGGATGGAAAGAATTCTCTACACAGGCTGTTCAGACCCACGCACGCCTTCCCTCATAGTACTTGCTGTTCAAATCTGATCCAAATAAAGCAAAACAGAAATGTGTTTTCCAGACTCAGT